TGTGTATATATATATATATATATCTTGTTTTCAGGATATACACACACATATATTTGCACACATACACACATTTACACATAGAGTTGTAATCTCAAGTCAATAAGGGGATAATTGAAGTGTTGTAACGTTACGTTTTCTTAGCTGATGGATTCAGGTAGTAATGTTATCAATCTGGAATCTAGAAATAATTATTTTTGGGAAGATATACCCAGACTTAGATGAACAATTCATAGGTACTCACTGACTCTTTAACCAAGGGTGTTCCAGATTAAAGAATTTTCTGGGCTTGGACATGAGAAAGTTTGTATTTTAGGTAAGATCACTGAATAACATCCAAAGTGTCTCAAATGCACTCAATTACCTGCACTTTTTCCTCTTATACGAATGAACAAAGTTTGTTAAGTTTTAATAAGCTTATTCCTCCACGTATACAAACGACTGTCTGTGAAGTGCAGTAACACCTTCAGAACACTGAGAAATCATTTGGGAAACTGCCTCTGCAAAGCATTGCGAGTCTTCTAAGAGCCTGGACCAGTTAATATCTCTTCAAAACACACTGAGTTAAGGAGGGAGGATGGAGCAAGGATGAGAGAGACCAAATGACAACCTAGGAAGAGAGAGCTGCATGATTTTCTGACCTCATTTTGCTAAGGGATATAAGCCAAATATTTTACAGATCTGATGTTTTTCTAGATCTCAGAAGATAGTATTTGAAACCATCTTTAAAAACTCTGAGAAAAATTTCAAACTCAAGTTTGAGCTTATTTGTTAACCTGACTGAAGTCAAACTCCAACAACACATTGTGACATGGTGTTTCTGGAGGCTACGTCAGCAAGGCATAAGCACACTCTATGTGGCTGGGAAGCTTCCAGGATCAGCCTGGCAATAGATGTTGCCCCATCCAACCTATTCCACTTTGGAGAAGCTCATGGTCACAGGAAGCACGGAAGCCTGTTGGCCAAGCCATGTCATCGCCAGAGGGCTTTCAAAAGAACTAAGCTACTCAGAACTGAACACTAGTAAGCACCTCTTTGGTGGTGGTGGGGGGATTTACTTGCTCAGCTGCCTTAAATATAATGGAAACACTATTTCTAAGAAGGCGCTTTTCAACAAACAAAAGAAGGCTAAAAAACTCACTGATGACATTAACAGCAATCAAGAAACTATATAAGGACAGTTACTCAACAAATACGTATTGAGCACTTGTATAAAATACTGTTCAACTTGGTAGACCAGTGCTGGACTTGTAGTCAGGAAGGCCCGAGTTCAAATCTAGCCTCAGACATTTACTAGCTGTGTGGCCCTAGGCAAGTCATTTAACTGCTGCCTGCCTCAGTTTCCTCATCTGGAAAATGAAGATAATAATAGCTAAAAAGAAGGTAATAATAACTACCTCTCAGGGTTGTTGTGAGGATAAAAATGAGATATTTGTAAAGCACTTTGAAAACCTTAAAGTGTGAAATAAATGCTAGCTATCATCATTATTATTATCTTTATTTTTATTACTGTTTATATTTTTATTATAAATAAAAACAGAAGCAACAGGAATCTGAATATGTAAAAGAGAGGGAAAAGTATATTTTCAATAATTTATTTTGATCCATAAAAGCTAGTAAAGTATAATACTTTCCTTGAACACTCTCCCAACAGCTAAAATTAATTTTAATGCCTAAGCAAGATACTGCACGGTAGTGAAACATGTAAGGTTCACTGACAATGAATATTCTATTCCCAAAATCTCAAAAGAAAAAGAAAGACTATTTGTGCAATCAACCACCTGAAATGATAGACTAACAGAAGCATAGAGGAAAATCACATGTGTATTGAGCACATGCATTACAGTTTGGGCCCCACTCTCAGCTACATGTTTAATGGAAATATGTTATTAATGGATAGTGTCAACCTCAAAACATAATGGAAGGAACTGAGAAGCTAGGTAGCAAAAGTCAAATCCCTAACATTGAATAAAGAAATACATATTCCTAATTTCTTACATTAAATATTATTCTGATTTCAGGTACCTTCACCTTTTACAATATTTCAAAATCCTTATGTATTAAAGACTACCAAATGTGAATTGCTCCTAATTTCACCCACATCGGATGACTTCCAACTGGGCCATCATCAAGAGGCTGTTTCCCCTTCGACTGAGGGCCCTCTCTTGTAGTGTGGTTCATTTCGGTTTTGAAGCACAACATCTCCCAAGATGACATTCTCCGGGGAGGCTCCTCTCTCAGCACTCCTGTGATCCAACAAACTGTACACCAAGAAAATGCTACCTTCTGGGAATTTCAAGTCTTCTGTCTTTTGGGATCTTGGCACTCATGGGGAAGATGCAACCATTGTAAGCGCCATACTATTCTTTGTTTTGTTTTTTGGCTAGGCAATGGGGTTAAGTGACTTGCCCAGGGTGACACAGCTAGTAAATGTCAAGCATCTGAGGCCGGATTTGAACTCAAGTCCTCCTGACTGCAGGGCTGGTGCTCTAGCCATGTGCCTCCTAGCTGTCCCCATATTATTCTTTTACTTGTAATTAACTTATTGATAAACAAATGTTTATTAAGTATCAACTCTGGGCCAGACACTAGAGGTATGAGTAAAAAGAGTAAGATGATCCCTATTCATAAGGAGCCTTAGAGTTCATATAGCTTTATTTCAAAAGGCTAAGAGACTTCGTAATCGATTTCCTCACCCGAAGAGGAGAAAGAGCCTCCACCAAGACCTACCTTGGGAAATATCACCTTGTCAAGTCAAGGTGTCTTTTACAAACGTCTGGCTGCTTGTAGGGGGCCTGCCAGCTTGGGGCCCTCTGGACGTTTGATTAACAGCTATTTAGAGGAGATCAGTGTCTCTTGTCCATTTTGTAGACCCTACCTACCCTGGGTGCTAAGTCAGATTATTAGCTTGGTCACTTCAAGGTGGCTCTAGCATTTAGAAACTATTTCCTGTAAAAGGAAGGCAAGAAGGAAGAAAGTGGGTGTCAGTGAGAAGGCAGCTGAGAGGAAAAGAAAGAACTAAATTAGAAAAAGCTCTTAAAGCTGACTTTCTCTTCTCCTTCAGGCTGTTTCTGTTTATATTTCTTTGACTCAGTGACTATCTTTGGAAATGCTAATTAAGTAAAGACCACTGAAGGCTTTCCCTCCAAAGCACATAATGGAGGGGGGTGTGAGGGGGGGAGGGAACACACAGTGAAAAACTAAGGACCTAAGAACATTTTATGGGGAGGGAGGGTGTCTAACAATAGTGGTCCATATTTCAGAGAGAGGTTCTATAACTTCTGTAGAGACAAAGTGGTTAGGGAAGAAATGGTATTATGTCCTAGAGGTCTTCATTACCTTTCCAATATTCCACCCATTTGATGGTACTGCCTTTCAAATTGTGTGAACACATCTATTCTTCTCAGCATCAGCCAATGTTCATAGGTATAAAATGAATTTTGATGATTCAAAGCCTTCCAAAGAGATGATCTTAATTATGTGCCAATTACTTGGCAGCTAGGTGGTTCAGTGGATAGAGTGCTGGTCCTAGTGCAAGGAAGATCTGAGTTCAGATCCAGCCTCAGACACTCTCAAGCGGTGTGATTCTGAGTAGTCATTTAACCTTGGTTTGCCTCAGCTTCCTAAACTGAAAAAAGGGAATAATAACAGCACCTACCTTCCAGGATTGTTGCAAGGATCAAATGAGATAATATTTGTATTATTATGTTTCCTAAAGCACAGGTTATGACCACGTCACTCACCTACTCAACAAACTTCAGTAGCTCCCTATCACTTCCCTTGATTTCAGAAAACGTGCACTTTCCTAGATCACCATCTACTTCTCAAATCATCAGTTTGCTCTGTCTGACCTGCTCCTCTTCAGCCCAAACCCTCACAATGGGAGGGCATCCCCAAGTTTGTGTCCTTGATCCTTGAGTTCTCCTTCCCTGTGCAATTTCCATTCACTCCCATATCTTCAACTACCATAATCAAGCTTCTGTCTCCTTACTCTCGGGGGGGGGGGGGTACCACTGTTCACTCAGGCTCTGATGTTCAAACCACAGGGATTATTTTCAATCTCTGGGGTCTCTCATTCCTCATATTTAAATAGTTACACAATCCACGTTATTCTCAACCAACAGCATCTTTCACATGTTTTCTTTCCTCTTTATTCCCAATACTGCCATAATAGAACAGGCCCTTACTCCCACTCACCTGGACTCCTGCAACCACCTAGCTGCCAAGTAACTGACACATAATTAAGATCATCTCTTTGGAAGGCTTTGAATCATCAAAATTCATTTTATACCTATGAACATTGGCTGATGCTGAGAAGAATAGATGTGTTCACACAATTTGAAAGGCAGTACCATCAAATGGGTGGAATATTGGAAAGGTAATGAAGACCTCTAGGACATAATACCATTTCTTCCCTAACAGGACTTTTCCCCCCCCAAGATAATAGCTTAGACTCCCGCTGCCCATACCCTATTATTGCTGCCAATTACTCCCGGTGCCAAGTATAATACACCTTTCCTCCCATTCCCCCTAAACTGTGAAAGGATCTTTGGGGACTCGATGTCATTTCCATGGTTCAATTCAACATCAGATTCTCATTTTATGCCACGCAAGAAACATTCATAAATCATGAACTTTCAATGTATTCGATGAAAGAAGATTGTAGATATTAATTTTTTAGTTAAGTTACATTAAAATATTATGCTCTGTAAGAATCTGAACCATTAAAGAAACAATTCATCCATTTTATATCAGATTTCAAAAAATCACCTCCAGTGTATAGCTTAAGTTGAAGCTAATTCATTTAGGCCTCATTATATATTCACCCAGCAAACAATTTTATCCATGTCATATTCATAAGACTCCCTGTCATTGCCTGTTATAGCAACAGAACATGAAATCAATGCAATCAATAGGCTCCATCCATTAGAAGAGTTTTGGTGGAAAGTTTGACCAAACAAAACGTGCAGGGCTACAGAACATACAGGCCACGTCTTACTCACCAGAAACAAGGTGCGGAAGCTGCTGAGGTCACCGAAGAACTCGTCGATTGCCACCGTTTTGGTGTCAAAAATGAAGTACTCGCCAAGATTGTCGTAGAGTTTTATCATGTTGTTGTGCATGGTGAACAACTTTTCATACTGGTCTCTGGCACTCTTCGCAAAGCTGTAAGTTTGTGTTAAGGAAGAAAACACAATGCCACATCCCAAGGCATTTCTTACAACGTAAGATGGATGCTGTCATTTCTATACAACATTTTTATAGTGTAGAAATATCAGAGAATTTTATTTGGGAAATGTCTAATCAATCCGGATTCAACAATACTGTACAGGCAGGAAGCATTTAAAGCAACAGCATTTACATGAAAGCAAACCCCTTCCCACCACCACCACTAAAAAGTCACAAACGTTCTTAGAAAGAGAGCATGAGAGATGAGACACTGTATACAACCAGAGGAAGATCTCTTAGGAGGCCTATCATCTCACTCATCCGCTACAATATACTTTTGTTAATGTAGACTAGAATTATTGGGGCTTTTTTTTGGGGGGAGGGTGGAGGGAGGCAAAGGGCTATAACATCCCACTAACTAATTCATTGAGCTTGCCATCAACTAAAACTACCAAGGCAGTTTATTTATTTTCATATATAACCTTCTACCAAGCTTCATTTCCTCTATCATGCATTTGGGAAGCTGATTTTTTGAGCCTAAGTGCAGGACTTGACATTTATGATCTTTGATTTTAACCTTATGAGGTCCAACCCAAACCTTTTTAGATCCTGTTCAAACCTTTTTTAGGTTCTGATTCTGTCACCCACTGCATAAGTTAACCTCTCCAGTTTTATCATTTGTATTGAGAATATTTTGTACATTTTGCTATTCAGTATACCACTGGTCTGAAACAGCAGACAAAGGATCACATCATCATGCCCCTGTCTTCTTACCACTGCTGAACCATCATCATGGCTTCATATATAGGTGTGCACAGGGCAAAAGAAATTTACTTTGGATAAATCGACACTTACGAAAAAAATCTCCCAGTAAGGAGTGTTTCCTTGTCACTTGAGGACCAACCTATCTGGAGGTTCAGAGAGGATCACCATCTGAGTGGCCCCCACATTCTTTGAGGGCCATGTCTGAAAGAGACCACATCTGACAAGTAGGTTGGATTTTGGGGGATCTGAAGCATGCTCATGTTTCAAAGATATTTTCATCATATTCAAAAATTGGCATAACTACAAAAAAAATTACTCATTTCTCAGCATAGACCTGAAAAAAAAAAAACCACCCCAAGTCCAACAACCAAACCAATTTTTTTTCCTAGTCCCTCTTCATGAAATAAAACAGAAAATGAGAAATCAGTCATACCAGGGACTTACCAGGCAACAACACTTTTCCAAGGTCATTTACTTGTAATCTGTTTACAATGCAAGGTATTAAACTGTTTGCATATTTCTAAAAGCTCAACATCTGTACTCCACAGTGAAAAAGCCAAAGATAATAAAAAAGGCCAAGACTTCAAGCTCTCCATTTAACATAACACAATTTTTCACCTGCTAATACTGTCCTTGAAGCTGTGTACAATTCATGAGAACAGAAAGTGTTCACTGAAATCCTACCAGACTCTGAGTACATGCACCAAGAGCAAGGGCAAATCTGGAAAATTCTGGAAATGGTTTAGCTTAGAATGAGAAAACTGAGAACACTGTCATCTCCCAGACCTTCTTTTATCTTCCATGTGACTATTTTATGGAAAGAAGATGCCACTGGTGGAGAGCGATACTAGGTCCCATTTACTAGAGGGTTTGAGGTGAAAAGCATGTGGGTGACATCGTCATGCTGATGTGTTCATTTAATCTTCCAGGCATTCACTAAGTGTCAACTACTTGCAGGCTACTAAGCTACATGCTGTGGGAGAAATGATAAAATGGTCACTGCCCTGTGAAAAGTGAACAAACTAGTAGGGCCAAGTGGGAAGAATTTATTTAAAATTAATTACTTAAAGAATTTTTCCTTGTTCTATTAAAAATAAATTCACAAATTCATTTGACTTGTTCAGTTTGAAATTAACTTTAAAAATTTATTTTAAAAACCCTATAAAATTAATAACAAAATCTTTTTTTTTACCACAGATCGTTAATGGAAAACAAAACATATCATTTTAAAACTGTGACACTTAATGTGAATTAAAAAAAAAACACGCAACAAATCCTCAATAATTAAACTGGTGGAGTAGTGAACTGGTCCAACATTCTGAAAAACAATTTGGAACTATGCCTAAAGGGCTATCTAACTGTGCATACTCTCTGACCCAGCAATACCACTAGTAGGTCTGTTTCACAAAGAGATCAAAGACAAAGGAAAAGGACCTATAGGTACAAAAATATTTATATCAGCTCCTTCTGTGGTGGCAAAGAACTGTAAATCAAAGAGATGTTTATCAATTGGGGAATGGCTGAACGAGTTATGGCATCTGATCATGATGGAGTACTACTGTGCTGTAAGAAATGATAAGGGGGGGTGATTTCAGAAAAAACATGTTAAGACCTATATGAACTGATGCAAAGTAAAGTGAGAAGAACCGGGAGGTCACCGTGCACAGTAAAAGCGATGTGGTCAAGATGATCAGCTGTGAAAGACGTGGCTACTCTGATCAATACAGTGATCCAAGGCAATTCCAAAGGACTGATGTTGAAAAAACGCTATCCATTTCCAGAGAGAGAACTGATGAACTCGAAGTTTTTTCACTATCTTTATTTACTGATTTTTTTGCAATATGGCTAATACGGTAACATATTTTGCATGATTTCACATGTGTAATTGATCTCATGATGCTTGCCTTCTCAGTATGAGGGGGAGGGGTAGGAGAGATGGAGAGAATTTAGAACTTAAAATTTAAAAAGAAAAGAATGTTAAAAATAAATAAATAACACATTAAGTTTAAAAAAAAAGGGGGGGGGATTAACCTGGAAATAAAAAAAAAGCCAACAACACTAACAGAACTCATATACAATATTTTCAGGCACAGAGCACTTGTTTTTAAAAATGACTTCAGCACTTAATTATACAGGATGTCCCAAAAGTATTAATGCAGTTTTTAGCTGCTGAAAATTACACTAAGACTTTTGGGACACGTTGTATAGCATGCCCTTTAACTTGCATTATCCATAAAGTATTGTTATATTAAAGTTTATGTGCTTACAGCACTATTATTTTACTCAGTTTTACAAAAGTGAACTTAGGATTCAGCTTGAAAGAGCTATAAATTAACCATATAAATGTATATAACCAAAGAGCTATCTAATGCTTTTCATGCTTTTCTGACTGGAGAGATTTTACATTCATCAACAAGATCCCCACACTGAGTCCATTAAAAGAAATGTATATAAATTTTTTAAAGTTGTTTCAGCATATAACCGGGAGGATGGTGACTTAAGCAAAACCCTTTAGAAAGAAGATACCCCTGATCAGGTGCCAGTCCGAGAAGACCATCTAAAATTTCCCACAAAGTGGGAACAACCTCCAATTTAAGAAGCGCTCTGTTGACACAAAATTTGTTCCCTGAAAAGTAAAAACCAAGGGCTGTGGGGAAAGGAGTTGATGTATCATCTTCTGTCAGAATGGAGCCCAATTAGAACTTGTACTTTCTCACCTTTTCAGGCAATACATTACTGACCCAAATTTTAATCCCCAAATCCATGAATTATAAAATGTCAGTTCTGTTGGATTGTTGAGGAACATGGAAAAATCAACTTGAGATCCACTTAACCTTCACAGGAACGGGAGTGAGAAGCATGGCATAATTATCTATTGAAATGAAAGGAAGTCAGAAATATATACTATCTAAAAACTAGATATAGCATTAACTTGTTTCCATACAACCTTTGAGACAAAAGCTCCAAAAGGAAGAACTCCCATCAACCCCATCCCTCCATTTATTACGAAGTTAATTTTTTCAAGGTTTACTAATGCTTGAAATCAATCTATTTAACAAGGGATATTAGAAAATGATTAAAAAGTGGGAACAACCACTGATGAAAATTCTGTCAAGAATATGGGATGTTTGAGCTAAAAATAATACCAGGACAACAACATCAACTACATCTAGCAGCTTTCATTTGAGCTCCAAGTAATTGGAGAATTTCTAATCCAAGTATTTCTTCACTGCTCCTCCCAGTGGATCTTTTCTTGAGGAGTTAAGGTATGGACATGGGATCCTATCCTGCACATGCCAGCTCTCCTTAGCTGTAGTCTTAATGTGCTCTCCTGGGGGAAAGCGAGATCAGCAACCGTGGAAAAAAAGACAGAGAGGAGGGGAAAAGACACTAGGAGAGGAGAAAAAGCCAGAATCCAGAGTAAATGCCTGGAGGGAAAAATCACCCTGGTCCAATGAGATCTAGTTCCCAGGTAGAACTGAGAACAGTGGTTCATACGAGAGCGGGAATGGGAAAAGGGCCCTAGTCAATTGGAGTTGGGGTCCCTCTGTGACTGTAACAACACATGCTAACCTCTCTGTCCTTTTCTGTACTTGTCAGTTGGTACTCTTATCACAGCCTCCCATAGTTTCTATAAACAAAGCACTTTGTAAATCTTTAAAAAGTATCCCCATGCCGTGGTTTCTGAGATCCAATATTATTAACACCGCAGAGAGTGACTGGAAAACCTTGCTAAGTGGAATAGGCTCAGAATGATCATGCAGCAATGGAATAGGTTTGTTTTTTTGTTTTTGTTTTGTTTTGTTTTTGACTTAGGGATTTATTAACTGGCTATGTGACCATTGGATTGTCACTCAATCTCTAAGTGCCTCTGTTTTCTCCCTGTCCAAGGTACCCTCGTCCTCCTGGCCCCCAGGTCATCTTCACCTCTTCCATCTCTCTTATCCTCCACAAGCCAGCAGTTGGCAACAGGTGTTGATTTTTAACTGCAAAATGCTTCATGCATCTTCTCTCCTCCCTACTCACCCTGCTGGAGGCTCCCTAGTTCGAGCCCACATCATCTTGCATCTGTTAACAGCCTCCTTTTTCCTAGTTTCCCTGCATTTAGCCTCCCCCCTCTCTAATCCATCCTTCACACAACTGCTAACGCAGTTTTTCTGAGAGCAGAAATTCAGAAAGGTACACAGACACGCTGGGCAGTACTAGAACTACAGTATTAAAGCTAATTACTAAT